AGCAGGTTACAAACCTCACCCAGGTTCCAGGGAGGCGAAATCGACTCCTCTTTCAGTGAGGAATACAGTCATTTTATAGAGGATGGGGTGGGGAGGTGAGGGCGGGAGCAAAAAGTTGAGGCCGTTGATACAGCCTGTTACTGCAGCTTCTATTTAGGGTCATAAAATAGAGAACGGTGTGTGTATATGTGTACGTGCACGTGTGGGAAGCAATTGGACCTTTTAGGGCACAGAGGGAATACTTGTGAAAATGCAGAGTCCACACTGTTAAACCTCTAAAGCCATGACCCAGAGTCTAAATTTTATAAGCCTTCCAGTTTACTCTGAGGATCACAAAAGTTTGCAAACCATCCTTTTAAGGGATCTGACCTATGTACGTAAGTCCAATGGGTTTTCATTTTACATTTGGAGGTAAACACTGGAACGAGAAGTGTTTTATATCTAGACATGTATAAGAATCTCTACTCCTTCCTCCAAAAATTATGGATCCAAAAATTATCCTGCTTCCAATGTATTTGTTTTATGGACACGGGAAGGCGAAGCAGCCAGAAAGAGCAAGTACTACTACCACCCCCTAGTGGTGGTATGTGGCAATACAACGTAGCAATAACACCGTAGCAAAGATGCGTTCACATCCAATTTAGCCAAATCCAACACAGCTGACAAACGCTAATGTGCGTTATTCCCCATTACTGTGCAGTTAAATGTATTACTACCAGAACTCTGCTGTGTACTGATTTTCACTGAGCTCAATTTATTAATTTTTAGCCGTGTGATTTATGTATTCTTGTGTTCAGTTAGCAGATTACTACCTTGAGACAGATTTACAGTTTGTAACTGGGTATCCGTGTAGACTTTACTATTCTTACACGATAAAAAGGATATATTTTCAGTACAAACCACTTTGAAATCACTTTAAATGATGGTGTTATGAAAAGGGCTTGTGAATGTTTTCTTTCAAAATTTTTCCCTGTCAGAGCTCCGTCTCAGGTACCGGGGTTTCTCAGCGTTGGCACAGTTGACTTTGGGGCCAGACGCTTCTCTGTTGTGGGGGCTGTCAGAGATTTGGCAGCATCCCTGGCCTCCACTCACTGCCACTGTTAGGCCAGTAGCACCCCTCTCACCTCCGAATTGTGACCATCAAACATGTCTCCAGACATTGCCAAATGTCCACCGGGGAGGGGAGGCAAAATTGCCTGCGGTTGGGAACCCCTGCCGTAGGGTTTTATATACCAGGAAATACGGTGGAGGCAGCGAGGGCGCTGCTGGAAATTGCTGGTGAAGGTGGCTGGCCCAGTGGGAGGGAAGCAGGGCAGAGCCAACGACCACGCACCCGCCTCAGCCCTTGGCGACTCTCTGACCGCACAGGACAGCAGCACAGCACGTTCCTGGTCCCAAAGTTTAAGCTGCACATCTGCTCAAAATTTGTCATCAACAAGAACAGAGACCAGAGGAACCAGGAAGAAGTGGCTTCTCTGTGTCGGTAGCAGGACCATAGTGTGGGTTCACCACGGGCTTGGACACAGGCGAGGAAAGAGAGGTGTGACTTGACCTTGGCTCCGGGTTCCCTTAAAGAACAGATTTCTTTTGGCTGGGAGGGGAGGTTAAATGGCTGTGACGTGTTGCTGCCTCGTCCAGAAAGGAATGGAGGGTCAGGGCGCTGCTGGAGAGCTGAGAGGCAGGAGGGCGTCCACATTCCTGGTCTGACCCTGAGTTGGAGACGGGGATGGGGTGATAACAAGGCGGCTGCCACCCTCTATCCTCTTAGCTGTGTTTAGGTTTGCATTCTCCGGAAGCCTGCTTTTCCTCTTCGTCATCCTACTGCAGCCTGGGGTGGATGGTCTTTTGTCTTGAAAAAAGGACCCTGAGAGGCCCCCAGACCTTCTCAGAATAAGGTGTGATGTCTGGATGGTGAGATCCCTCACTAGAATCATTGAGCCATCCTGGGCCATGGCTAACTCTACCCTGCTCAGCTGGCTGCCTACGTTCAAACCTCGTCACAGCATTTCCCTGCTGTGTGACCTCGGGCCAACTGCTCGATTTCTCTGGGCCTCTGCTTCCTGTAAAATGGGAACAGCCATAGCAGCGACTGCAGGGGCAGACAGTGAGTGCTCAGTGAGGGCTATTAATCTCTTATTACTGTCGAGTCACCGGCCCAAGTCCACCTATCAAGTAAGTGGCAGATTCAAGGTTTGAAATTAGATTTTCTGACTCCAGATCCTGGGTTCTCAATCTTGCCACATGCTGGACCCACTTGGGAAGCTTCTGAAGCCGGGATCCCACAAAGGTAGCCGTTTAATTGGTCTGGGGAGTGGCCTGCGTGTAGAAGGTAGAGTTCTCCAGGTGATTCTAATGTGCAGCTGGGGGTGGAAAACCTCTCTGCTCCATGTTAGAACTCAGGTGCAACCAAGTGACAGTCAGGACGCTGCAGTACGCCACCTCCTGTGACTGGCTTACCCCGCTGAGCATAATGTCCTTCAGGTTCACCCATGTTGTAGCATGTGACAGGGTTTCCTTTTTTATGCCTGAATACTATTCCATTGTATGGACATACCACATTCTCTTTATCCCTTCATCTGTCAATGGACGTTGAATTGTTTCTACTCTTGATGCCTCCTACGTGAGGTATCTACAGTAGCCAAATTGACAGGAACAGAAAGTAGACTGGTGGTTGCCAGGGGCTCGGGGAGGGGGAACAAGGAGGTGATGGCTGAGCTCACCGAGGATTCTGGGAGGAGAGGCACCAGGGAGAGCAGGAAGGTGCAGAGCCAGCGCGTGGGGCAGCTGCTGGAGTGGAAGGGCTTTCCTAGGGGGTGAATGGGAGACTCAGGCTGCCGGGGGTTCCAAGCTGGGATCTGGGGCTTTTAGCAGGAACTGCAGACACGGACTTCTGAGAACTGCCGCCTGCTGCTTGACAAGGTGTGGCCCGCTGGCTCCTGCCTCCCTGCCCGTGGGTGAGTTGACACAATAACCAGAGTGCCTATCAAAGGACCGATGACTCAGCCTCCAGGTCCAGCCTCCATCTTGCTTGGCTTGTTTTCTGGGCAAGGCGGCAGAGAACCAGCGGGCAAGATGGGGCAAAATGCACAACTTGCCAGATTTCGCCAGCAGCTCATCTGGTTTCAGATTCAAACTGCCGTTCTGTTTCATTGTACGTGAGAAAGTCATCGTAGTTTGCTGGTGGGAGAAAAGGGGTTTCTTAAAGTGTGGTCCACGGATGCCCTGGGTATGTCGAGAATACAGATTCCTGGGCTGTACCCCAGACTCGTTAAGTGGGACCCTCAAAGTGGGGGGCCCTGGAACCTGCCATTTTAACAAGCTCTCCAAGGATTTGGACTGAAGGGTGTCAGTGGATTGCCATTGGGAATAATTCCTGGGATGCTTAACCCTGTGAGCTGGGCCAGAGAGCCCAAAGAGGAGGCGGCGATGGCCAACCCACCTGAACTTCCTTCTCTCCTGGCTCTCTTCTTTGCCTTGCTGAGCACAACAAACACAGAGTGGACCTCAGAGGTGGTCTGAAAATGCAATGACCTGACTTCAGTATAGTCCAACCCAAAATGCTAAATTTAAAAAAGGAAGGAAATCACACTTATTCATGGTCCACAGGTTTTCAAAAGACCTGTTAATCATGTGGAGATTTATTGCTTTTTTTGGCCGTCTTATATGTAGTCTCCTTGCTTTAGTAACAACGCCCCAAGATCCATTTGGAGTCATCTCTGCCTCCCCGTGGGCAATCTGATGGGCAGGTCAGTCAGGGCGTCTGGTGGCAGGTGACCCAAGCCAGACCATCAACATTTCTCTCCGAGGCTCGGTGAGGATGGAAAACCCAGTTGGTGTTTGTTCCCTCCAGCAAACGTATCTCGCTCAGTCTCTGTCAGTCTCCGTCTCTTGGATTCTCTTTGCCCCTCTCTGAGCCTTCTCTAGCACACGGAAGTTCCGTGGACCACCCGAGGTCCCTCCCAGGAATCCGCCTGCTGCTTACGCTCTGGTCCTCTCGACAACCCTGAAGGTTCTCTCTTTGTGTCTGCATGCTGCTGCAGTGTTCTGGAAAGCTTCACCCTGCTTTTATTTGTCACGGGGAGAAGGGAAGAGCCGAGGTGAGAATGACGATGTGAATCTTTTCTCTGCCATTCATTTTGCCACATTCAACTCAGTCCATCATAAAAGCTTTACATTTTCATCACAGACAACGTGGAGTAAGTTGCTTCCATGGACTCATTGAGATTTGGGTCTTTTTCCACGTGCGTCGGATTTCCAGTCTAAACTCACTGCTTTTAAGCTACATCAGTCGGTTCCAATTTGATGAAAGGATGAAAGAGTGAATGCAGAGGGGAGAGAACGTTTTGCTGGATGATAAAACCCACCTGCAAGGGCTTTTGTTTCTAAGTAGAACTGAAGCTCTGGAATCGAGAACACAGCCAGAGAAGAGCTTCTGACCCTAAGTTAGAAAAACCAACTCACTTCTCAGGCAATTCCAGTTAAAATTTGTGAAATCAAGTTAGGAATCAAAATCAACTGAGAACCAATGTTTGGGGGGAAAGCACCATAATGTCCCTAGATATTAGCTAAAAGACTTGCTACGTTGGCATGAGATTTCGAATATGTTATTTAGTAGTATTGTGACCATCAATTAGTTTCAACACCAAAAATGACAAAAAGCAGGTTTAAGTTCAATTTCAGAAATGTGAAGCGGCACTACTGCCACCTGGTGGCCATTTATGCAAATTGTTCGTTCAGGTTTGTTTTTTTTTTTTAAAGGATTGGCACCTGGGCTAACAACTGTTGCCAATCTTTTTTTTTTTTTCTGCTTTATTTCCCAAACGCCCCCGCCCCCCCCGCTCCCCCCCCAACCCCCCACCCCCCCCACGCCCGCCCGCCCCCGGCCCGGTGCATAGTTGTATATCTTAGTTGCAGGTCCTTCCAGTTGTGGGATGTGGGACGCCGCCTCAACGTGGCCTGACGAGCGGTGCCATGTCTGCGCCCAGGATCCGAACCCTGGGCCGCTGCAGCGGAGCGCGCGAACTTAACCACTCGGCCACGGAGCCGGCCCCCCGTTCAGGTCTTTTAAGGACAAAATTTGTGACATTGAACGGAGGCCGTCACAGGCAAACATTCCAGCACCCTCATCATTTGGCTATTGACCTGGGCTGTCTACATTTCTATATTCAGTTAACATCTCGATTATAGACCAAAACAATTTGGTATGGTTTGGTCAGAAAAAAGTTTCTCTTTTATTTATTTCTTAAAATCAGATATTCCCCAAAGAAGAGAAAGGATTCCAGTGATTTCTTTTACGGTTGTTCTACGTTCTCTTCTGCCGTGTTATTTTTCTTGCAGGAAGAAGGGTGGGTGCTTTTATTCGGCCCTCCTTAGTGGCCTCAGGGCAGAATAACTGGACCCTCGGGCCTGGGCCTGTTACATGCATTGAAGGTTCCCTGAACAGTATTTATTCTTCAGTCCCCCTGCCCCTGGACATCGCTTCCATGACCCCAGTCCCAGCTGCTGTCATCTTGCCCCGACCATTGCAATAGACTTGTAATTAGTCACCCTGGTTTCCCCCACTCCCACTCCCACCCCCTTCACCAGCCTATTTTCTACCTGGCAAGCAGAGTCATCTCCTCAATCTTGTCCCGTCACCCATCTGGACTGAAACCTTCAATGGCTCCCCACTACTCCCAAGACAACGACCAAACTTCTTAACACAGACTACCGGTCTCTAATAGGGTCCCAGGTGCTGTTGCTGCCTCATAAACAAGCCCGTAACTTAGTGGCTTAAAAGAACTTTTACTTTGCTCCCAGTCTTGCGGGTCAGGAATGTGGGTAGGGTTCTGCAGGGCTGCTCCTCTGCTCCGCGTGGCTTCAGCTGGGGCGTTTAAAACCCAGGCTCTGCTTCAACGATGGCTTCCTCGCTCGCCTTGGTGCTCCCTGGCCTCTCTCTCCGTGTGGCATCTTGTTCTCCAGGGCCTTGTGGCCTGGGCCTCCTGCAGCCTGGTGCTCTCAGGGCGAGGGGCACTTCTTATGTGACAGCCAGCTCCGAGAGCCGGCATAGCATCGCTTTCACTGTATTCTGTTGGCCGAAGCAGTCACGGACTGCTCCCAGAGTCACAGGGATGGGGAGAGACCCCACCCTAGAGGGGGGAGCGAGGCGAGGCCACACGGCAGAGGAGCAGGTGGCACGGCAGGTACTCCCCACTCTGTGTACGTGGTCCAGCTCCTGCGGACCCCTGCAGGCCCCCCAAACCCCAGGCCATCCTGAACCACCTGCCTCTTGCCAGTGTTCCTCCCTGTGCCCTTAACCCGGGAGCTCTACCCGCTCTGCAGACTTCAGCTGGGTCGGGATTTCTAGAGGGTTGTCTTACCCGACCCAGCGTAGATGCTGAGCCCATGATCCAATGTTTCATCTCTCAACTTTTTGTTTTGAAGAATTTCAACCTACAGAAACATTGCAAGCACAATATGATGAATGCCCATATGCTTTCTACTTGACTTCACCAACGGTTAACGTTGTGGTCACACTTGCTTTTATCTTTCTGTGTGTATGTGTGTGTCTGCGCACGTGGGTGTAAGTAATTTAGGAACCATTTGCGAGTTAGTTGCAGACATCAAGGCCCTTTGCCTCCCAGGACTTTGGTGGTATCTCTGAAAAGCCGGGGCTCATTTTCGGGTGATTTAACATGGACACAGCACTCTTATCCATATGTATCCATAGTTGGACTTTGCCAATTGCCCAAATGATGTCCTCCTGAGCTGTTTTTCTAAATCCAGGATCTGCTAAGGATCATGTATGCATTGCATTGTCCCCTGGGACCCCTTGCACACCCTAACCCTTTTCCTTCAGAGACTTTCCCGATGGGTGTTAAGCCCCTTGGCCTGGCACAAGCCCGTCCCCAGACACTCTTGTGCTTAACTCCTTCTCATCCTTCAGGCCTCAGTTTGTGCCTCCTCCTCCAGGAAGCTCTCCTTGACCAGCCTGTCTCACATAGGCTCCCCGGCCCCATCACACTTCACCATATCTCACTGCTCATTTTCCTTGTGGGCCACATCGCGTCGCTCTCTGAAAATCTCACGTGTGCTGTGCACTTCTTGCTTGTTGATCTCCTGTGTCCCCCACCAGGTCAGCTCCAAGAGAGCAGGGCCAGTGGCTAGTCCTTTTCTCCATGTCGGCACCTGGCACGGTGTCCAGCCCAGGGTAGATGTTCAATAATTCCTTGACAAACGAAGACATGAACATTTCACTGGGAAAATTTAACAAACGGGTGCAAATAGAGTTTAGGGCCGCCTGAGCTGCAAGTGCCAAGCCTTTCCCATGTCATAAACCTGCCAGCACAACTGAGTGTGTCTTGGGCCGCAATCCAGCCTACCCAAGCTTGGCCTCTATTTTGCTCAGAGGAATAACCCCTGCCCATAAATTTACCAAATTGGATTTTTACAGAGCCCATGTGGCCTGAAATAAGGCTCCTCATCCTACTACTAAACTAGCCCAAATATCTGCTTGCTACACATGGGTGTGAGCAAGAGATGGGGGAGTGTCCCTGGCTTATAGGTTAATTTCTTTTTCATGGAGAGATAAGTGGTAGGTAAGTACAATTAGCCCAAAAGGAAGTGACTACAAGCTGTGGCGATGATCATGGTAATTTGTAGATCGTCCAGAAAATTCCCCACGATCCCCAATAATTACCACCACATGTGGTTTCCACGGTGATCGGGTGGGTTTGAATTGATCATTGCTACCATGACAGAACCACCTGTGCCGTGTCAGTGTCCTTCCTCTGGCACTCCGGTCATCAATCCCACAGATTAGTCACAGCATTAGGAACCCCCCAAACGCAATACTTTCTTGAGTGTGAACAGTTAAAACTCAGTATTGGAAAAATCAGATATGATCTGGCTCGCGTATTATCTTGACTAAATCCATTCCACCCCAACGTGTCCAGTTGCATTTACTGTTTTCCTTAGAGCCCAAATCCAGGGGACTATAATTGGGTTGAATTAGTTCTGAATCAATCCTGAGGGTAGAGATATTGTCTTTACACATCATCACTAACCTCCATCAAAGTAAGGAAAAGAACTTCCAGGTGTGTCCTTGCCCCAACGATCAGTCACAGCATCAAGACTCGTGTTCCTTGATATCAGCTTTATTGATCCAACTTCCTGGAATCTTTAAAAGAATTTTATTTCACTGGCATTGACACATGGTTGTCCAACCTGCGACGCCCCCGGCCTGAATTTTAAAATTATGGGAAATCATTCCTTTCAAAGAGATTTGAGAAAAATACTGTATCCTGCTGTATGGGTTATTTGATTATCTCTTTGGAAGGCTCTTGCTTGTTGACTGGTGGGAGTTGGAGTTTGAACTAATTTTTGTCCTTTTCTATCATCCAAACAGCCAATCTGTTAAGATCTCTTACCATTCCTTGTAGATCCTGTGGTCACTGTAGACCTTGCCTGTCCATTTGGATGCCTGGGTCCCAGCAGGTGGGGCTCTTCACCCCAATATAATTCTCCCATCCATAGTTCATCTAGGGAGGGAAAACTTTTCCTCTTCCCTCTTAGGTTCTGTGCCTGGAGCCTGTGAATTAAACTGACAAAAGATAGATTAACAGTAGAAAAGGAACACAAATTTTACTACTTTTACCTGCACAGGAGCATCACAGAAAATAGGTGAAACCCCAAAGAACTGGTTAGACTCGGGAGTTTAAATACCATTTTAACAAAGGGTGGGAAATTATGGAGAAGTGATGAGACAAAGGAAAGGGAGTTTGGGCTCCTTGGGACTGTCAATTGTGGGAAGGTGACTAGGAAATGTGTGGCAGAAGAAGGTTGTTTAGTAGGGTCCGTTATGCAGACTCATCTCGGTGCCATCTGCCTGGTAGGGGAGAGGCGAACACCTTTACAAAGGGAAATTTATGTAGAAACGAGGAGGGCAGAGAACTCTTCCTGTGTCCGCCATTTTTTCATTGCCTTCAGCTCAACATGAGCCTTATGCCAAAGTGGCATATTTTGGGGTGGTCTGTTCTGATCCTCTTCAACATGGATAGAAAACCAAGGAGCTGTATTCCTTCTCCTTAAAAATCTCATGAGGCTGAAAGGTGGGAACTGACTGAATTGGATTTGTCTGCATCATAGGGCTTTTTTTCTTTTTCTTCTTTTAAAGAAGCTCAATTCTTTTACTTCATCCTCTGGATTCGTGTAATGGGTAATATGTAAGCATTGGTCTATCTCCGGGCTTTTGCCAGGTCAGCTGTCATCTGCCAGTTAAAAAAAGGCCGCGATCTGATTCATGATGTTGGGCACGTCTCACGACGGGAGGATCCTTTGAGGTGATTGACAGGGGCTTTGCATCTTCCTCATTGGTGGGTGGAGCCACCGCCCAGCCAATGGGAGCGTCTAGAGCACTAGAGGGCCCGCCTCCAGGCATCCTGCCTAAGGGCCCGGTGTCGTTGTTTTGAACAAATTGTGGTCCCCGGTGAAGAGAGACTGTATGAGCTTCCTAGGGCTGCTGGAACAAATTCCCACAAACTTGGTGGCCTGAAACAACAGAAATGTATTTTCTCACAGTTCTAGAGGCGGGAAGTCGGAATGTAGATGTTGGCAGGGCTGAGCTCCTTCCGAAGGCTCTGCGAGAGAATCCTTCCAGCCTTTTCCAGCTTCTGGTGGCTCTGGGTGTTCCTTGGCTTGTGGCTGCCTCACTCCAGTCTCTGCCTCTGTCTCCGTGTGGGGCACGTGTTCACCTATGGTGATTTTTTGAAAGGATTTCCTTCTATCTCCACGGCCACCTGAGTGACATGCTCTCTCCTGCTGAGCCTCTTGCCCCAGTAAATTAGCAGTTACCCAGGAAACGTGGTATTTCTAACGCCCTTGTCCCCTAGCAAAGGTTTTATTTTGTTGTTTTCTACCATTTACTGATAAGGATTCGCTTTGACTTAGGCATTTTATTATCTCGTTAATTCCGTACAAGGGCCCTATCTATCAGCGTTCTTGGTCTCATGCAGCAGAACCAGTGAAATGAGAAAGAGGGGGACAGGGAGGGGAAGAGGAAGAGAGGAGGGAGGCGGCCCATTGCAAAATGTAGGCGTCAGCTGCCTTCCTTTTACACCCTGAGGGAAAGGAGGCTCAGAGGATGCGATGGGCTGCGAGTCACAGCTGCTGAGTGCTGGAACTGGCTTTCAGACCCAAGGGCCCGGTTGAAGTCCATATTCTATGAGACCAACGTATGAGAGTATGAGACGTGCTACTTTCTGGGACAGTCTGACAAGCTACGGCCCCACTCAAGTCCCCAGAGTGAGGATGCCCCGCCAGTCAGGGATTCCCCACAGTCTCAGGGAGGGAGCCAGCGGTGCTGTAGAACAAGGAATTTATTACAGGGGCAAGACTTGGCCCCACGTGGGAGAGCTGGTGGGGAAAGCTATGCCAACTGTTCCCTCTGGGTCTGGTGTTGAGCCTGGAGTCACCAGAGGTCAGCCAGGTGGCGGTCAGGAAGAAAGGATGGATGTGGACAAGACCAAGCACAAACTGGAAGTGCATCTGTGTCACCACCTCCACCCCTGGAGCCATGGGAATCACGGACCTGTTGGGAAAGCACAGTGGCACGACCTGCACCTGCACACCGAAGGAGGTCCTGGCAGAGGCTGCAGCAGCTTAGGTCCCTGAGCAGCAGACTGGAACAGGGAGCACAAGCCACCACGCTCTGTTGCCCTGGATCCACCTTCTGAAGGTAAACATGACTATTTCGCTTTGTTTCTCAGTCTCAGGCAATGTCTTGTGACCAACGCTCACCTTGAACCATCCAGGCGACGCCCTGGGCAAGGTAGTTCCAGCTGAGCGACATGGACACGATCCAAAGCCACCACACTCACCTTGTGTCGAGGGTGGCCGAGTACAGCTCTCGTTGACCAAAAATTTGCTTTCTTAGTTCACCTTGCGGCTTTGACCCGTCCTAGGATAAGCCAGTTGGATGTGTGTCTGGCGCCACAAGGCAGCAAGGTCGGAGGTGAATTCTTCCTGTTCCCTCTGTCCAGTCCCCACGAGGCATACAGCGGGAACCCACGACCAGGCCAGGTTCAAAAGGGCTGGGTCCCTGTGACTTGGGCAAGACACCCAAGCTCCCTGGGCCTGTTTCCCCATCTTTAAAATGGTCAGAAAATGTCTCAGATCATCATGTGGTAGAACAGGACTTGCATAAACTGCCTCAGGTTTGAAACCTTGTGGATTTATCGCAAGCTATCTTTTTTCCTGTTTTCCGAGCCTGAGTCTTTTCACTTCCTTGTGATTCCATGAGCCACCCCGTAGCCTTCTCTCGATAGATTCAATTGTAGCTCATCAGGCAGTTTGGCTCTGCAGCTTAAAGGAGGTGTAAGTTCCCACCAGAAGTACATGGAGCCTTTCAGGGGTAGGGTTGGGTGTTTGCTCTCTACAGTTGCACTGTCTGGCAGGACTGGATCTTTCTTGTCCTTAGGCTGGCTCTTTTCTGGTGATGCTGATAGATGACACTTGAGAATCTTGCTGCTGCCCCTCCAAAAGGCAAGAAACATTAATGCCTTTTGAGCCATCACCTCTAAGAGGCCCAATAGCATCCCCCACCCTCCGCCTCCCATTACCCTGAAAGCTCTTAGGCACACAGATATTCCAGATTTGCTGGTTGGGGACATAGTCTCACTTGGGAGATGTGCACCAAAATCCTGTCTAGGGTGTCAAGTCTGGGCTCCGCTGAGTGAGAGAATGTCTAGTCTGCATCCACCCAAGGGCGCAGTCCTCTCCCGAGCGACGCCACCTGTGTGCTGCAGGGTGCCCCACTGCCTGAGCCCGAATGAGGCATCACAGAGGGCAGCTCCCTTGTCATCTTCAGTTCAGAACCTGGCACTTTCTTTAACGCTTTAAAATGTAAAGAAACAGGAGACCAAAAAATAACAGCTTTATTTATGACTGAAGATGTAAAGGCAGTCACAAAATGCCGAGAACCATTCCCTGTTCACTTCTTTAGAGGCTCTGCAGCCTGAACTTTCACTATGTACCAGGAAAGAGTGCCTCTCTTGAGCAGATTATCTTTTACGCTAACAGTTATTTTTCTGTTTTTCAATGTCTCAGTATTGGTTACCCAGTTTGTCCCACTGGGCCCTGACTTACACTTATCTAGTCTGTTCACTTGTTGAATTTCTTGGGCTCCTTGTGCTGGCCACAGCTTCCCCTCGGTGCTCCCTCAGATGGAGGTATGCACAGGACACATCTCCTGGGGCCCCTCATTGCTTATATTCTCTCTCCGAGTGATGATGGCAGCCAGGAAACGAGCAAAGGGTCGCATTAGGGAATCAGCAAATTAAAGCCTTAAATCTAAGGCACACAACTCCATTTTCCTCCACTGAATAAATAATGCTTTCCTAAGTGATACCATATGTTTTGCATGTACAGCACACAATGTTCAACTAATTTTATTATACACATATACGTATACAAACAGATTTAGGGAAAACCTCCAGGCTGTTTTCCCCAAATGATTGACACAGTCAAAAAGCGGGGGTGCGGGCACAAATTAGTAGCCCTTAGACTTTGAACAGAATGAGAAGACATGGGCTTTCACAAAATCTGGGTGGAGATGCACCCCAGGGATGACCTGGCCTCAGCGAACCGCTGACTTTTCCTGTATCTATACTGACCACAGGCAGGTCACTGAAAGCTGACTGTCAACACAGGAACGGTGGCTGCCTGTACCCTGGTCTGCCATGCAGCTCCACAGTCAACAAAGTTGCTGCTCACACAGCTTAGCGACAGGGGTCCATGGTAGTGCATAGTAGATGTTTCAGAATATATCCATTCGAAGTACTTATTGAATGCAAATCAGAAATTCATAAACTAGAGGCCGCTTACAACACACGGAAGAGGACTGTCCCTGTACAAAGGGCTCACACTCTGTACTGGCCCTGCAAGATGGCAGTAGTGTTAGAGGAGCACTGCCCACAACTCCAATATGGAAAACAAAACAAAATCTAGCACAATATGTAATTACTGAAGGCTCTTCCTTTAGGTGAGATTTTCAGAAAACCCAGGGATAGATTTTATATCACAAAATGGTCCATATCGCCCAAAAATGTCTTTTGATTGGACGGTAAAATAGTATTTGTTGTAAGTTAAAAATTGAGATAGAGTACAGGCCATTGGGAGTGGTAACGCTTTAATTTCTCCAATTTTCTTCCAAATCAACTTATTGCTAGGGTTCTCATGGCACAGGAAGAGGTGGTAGCTTTCCACAGGAGCACACTTGGGATTGATTTTGGTGATGTTCCAAGTCAGGGCGATGCCCCTGGGTCTCAGCACCCGCTTCACTTTGAGCTCAGGCTTCTGAGGAGGAAGCGTGTCCCGGATTTTGTCTACCAGTTCAGGCAGCAGTGGTGGTGGTTCTGGGAGAGGGGGAAGGTGCTCAAAGGACTCAAGAACCTGAAAACACATTTATAAAAAGTTTAGTGAGTTGGATCGGTGGGTTCTTGATTATTTTAAAGTGGTCAACTGCATTTCTACAATACATAGTTCCCATTCCTCAATCCATCTCTCAAAAT